GATGGATTTGGAGTCTATCATAATCAGTGATTTATCAGAGAAACAAAGAATAGAGTTCCATATGTTCTCACTCATAAGAGGACCTTGAGCAATTATGATGCTTTAAGAAAGTGATTGGCAGTAATGGGAAATTGTCAGGGGTGGGGGGGCTTGGCAGTTGAGGGAAACTGCCAAGGGAGGGAGTGGCATACCTCATCAACAAGGGCACCTGCATGATCATTGTTTATATACCTAACCCTGAATTGTACCCCACATCTTTATAATAGAAATTAAAAAAAAAAAGAAAGGTGATTTACATTCCTCACAGGTACAAGGATGTATTCTGATATCCATCTGGTAGAAATAGAGAAAAATAGCAATATTTACTCTGTAGTTTATTGTAGTTTGTTGTGATTGTGGAAATCCGGGAATGTACTGTGGAACAAAAGGGAACATCACATAATTTCATCACCCAAGCATACTATTAACATGCACATTTACAGTTATAAATATATATTAACATATATTGTTCACTTCAGACTTATAAGACTATATGGTATGCTGCAGAAAAAATATGTGTTTATATACTTGTAGATTAAATACATGTATGTATGTTTTTTAGCTAACATAGGCTCATACAGTAGTTCTGCTTTTTTCTTATTATTTTTAATTGAACCAAATCATGGACAACTTTTCATGTAAATAAACATAAACATTTGTCATTGTTTTAGCTGCTACATTTTTGGATCATGCTGAATCCACATTTTTTATTGTAAGCCTTTTTCAAATCTTTCTTTTTTAGTAGGAAAATATTAGAAAATAAGAATCAATCAAAATCCTTTCTAATACTTGATTTTTATATGAATCTTTATATTTCCTACAATAATTTGTTAAACTTATTTTGTTTACTCTAATTTTTTTCTTTTTTCTCATGTTTTTCTTTAATGGTGTTTACTTTTGCCTACAGATTTTAAAGATCAAATGGTAAGACAATTTAGTAATTCATTTTTTATTGTAAATCATACGTGTTTTAGTGAAATTCCAGTCCCTTCTCTCTTTCTTGGATCTTTACTTCGAAACTGAACATAAAAAATATTGACTGGGGGTGGTGGCTCAAGCCTGTAATCTCAGTACTTTGGGAGGTTGAGGCGAGAGGATTGCCTGAACCTGCGGGTTCGAGACCAATGTAGGCCACATGGTGAGACCTCCTCTGTACAATAAAAATAAAAAAATAAGCTGGACATGTTAGTGCGTGCCTGTAGTTCCAGGTACTTAGAAGGCTGAGGATTGCCAGAGCCCAGCAGGTCGATGCTGGGGTGACTGTGAGCATGACACTGTACTCCAGCCTGGGCGACAGAGTGGGACTCCAACTCAAAATACACACACACACACACACACGCACACACACACACATATCTATATTACAAGCAACCATAAAACTTTGACCAAATTGACAGCAACATGAAAAATGTCATAGTCAATGTAGATGAAAGCCTTTAAGCTCTTGGTATAAATTTGGATCCATTACTGAAATCCCATTTCATATTAAAGAAGTATCAAAAGTGATACCAAAAGGAAAAGTGCAAATATACCCACATTTATAATGATTTATACAATATTTAAATTTAAGTACTTACCATGAAAAGTATGCTATTAAGTACTTACTAAGAAAGGTGGACTTACTATGAAATTCTCTTAGGGCATTTTTTTTCCCTACTCACTATTCCTGCTGGGGCTTCTAAAAGTTATTAAAATGATGTTTTGATTGAAGATACTTTCTCCTTTTTTAAAAATACAAATTTTCTCTCTAGTAAACATAGTCAATCCTTTTCTGAAATGATTTTCTTTATTTGCTCCCTAGTTTAATCATCCCACTAGAATGCAAGTTCCTTAGGAACATGGACGATGCCTGGCATATAGTGGCTCTTCAGTAGATATTTGTTGAATAAACACATATTTATAGAACCCCTGTGCTGCATAGTGTCCTCTGCTGGGAATCTTTTTGTTGCTAATGTGATGCTCATCAGTGATTCAAAATCTGGTATTTATGACAATTTTCTTCTTTTCCATATTTCCCTACACTTTCATTTCAAAGAGAGCTTCATTGCTGATCTGTAAGGAGTCATGAACTGCCTGAGTGAGAGGGGCGACATATCCTCTGTGGTACTTTGAAAATGGTCTTGGTAGTGGGGTGTAGACAGTGGACTCTTTTAAAATGAGAATTTATATTGTTAAGTTATTTCACTCTGGACTTAGAAGGTGGCAGAAGAAGTCAAATCCTTGTCCAAAGTAATATAGCCGGTGACTGCAAGTCTGGGGTTCAAATCACAACCTGTGCTCTAACCCGCTGGCCCCACGTGTATTCCTGAAATGCAACTCAATCTAAAAGAGAAATTAAAGGTACTGTAGTCAACATGCTTACAATTTTGCTGGGCAATAGAACTAAATGAAAATTCCAACTGTAAGACATAGGAAACAGGGTTCCCTTATACACACAGATTTCACTTGTGTTCACTAATTTCCTCAGTTAGCTAGACTATATATCCTCTAAATGTAATAGACTTGACATTCATTTAACAAAAGTTGACTGCTAAGTTGGAGGAGGAGATAGAGAATGCATTTCTAAATAGAGAATGCATTTCTAAATTAGCTCAAAGTTTGAAAATCCAGAAATCAGTTATATGAAATATTTTTCTTTCAAATACTTTAAATTGCCCACAAAGCCAAAAAACAAAAAAACAAAAAAACAAAAGCAGTTGTTTTCTAAATACAGTAAGCTGTCTTATGCACATTCAAGGTTGAGAAGTATTAAGCAAGATTAATGGAACAAGCCAAAGGAACATTTATTTACAGATGTCTGGGCATTCGAACTGTTCTTCACTTGCACTGACTTTCAGATCTGTAGTGGTGATTAGTGTGTGTGTAGGAGTGGGAGGGCAGAAAATTCCCAAGTGTCACAGCCTGATTACCTCCATGCAGTCTTAGTATTAAACCCATTCACACCCTGCTGCTTTTCATTGTATGCTTTTAATTCAATTGACTTTTTCAAACTTACTCATTGAATGTCCTAGATAAAAACTTTAAAAGTTGAAAGAATATAAATCTCTACAACTTTAGGATCTGTTAATTTGTTACAGTAATTAAACTGAATTGTCTCCTTCAGAGAGGCTTAGGAAAGAGTAAGACATTAGAAGTTGAGGAATAAATGTTCCTACAATGGGACTTGGACATAAAAGATAAAATGATTTTCCTATAACTTTGTTTTATATATATGTGTGTGTATATATATGTGTGTGTGTGTGTGTGTGTGTGTGTGTGTGTGTGTGTGTGTGTATACACACACATTTGTTACATTCTTAGTGAAGTCAGATGCAATACCCTAACTGTTATGCAACAATTTTATTATATAAGTATGTATTAATACAGTAATATAAAATATAAGTGCTGTCTATTGAACACCTAGTATCTGATAGCACTGAGCTTGGTAGTTTTTAAAAGGTCCCCAAGTAAAGTCAGTGTTCAGCCTGTGTTGGAATCAGTTTACTTTAGGTTCTGGAGCATTTCAGGGGCACAATAGATGTAATATTTTTCCAAGACAAACTGCATGAGTGAGAGAGAGAGAACAAGTGTTTGTGTGTGTGTGTGTGTGTGTGTGTATGCAGACATCCATACTGGTCCCCAAGTGTGTGTGTGTGTGTGTGTGTGTGTGTGTGTGTGTGTGTGTGTGTGTGTGTGTGTGTGTGTGCAGGCAGACATCCATACTGGGCTCCTACTGGATTCAGGGACCAGTTTGGAAGCTACTGGTTGACAAGGGATTTGGGACTAAACTGGATGTCATCTGATGAAATGGGTGGTCAGTAGTTTGTCTGAGAAAGATTCCAGAAAAGAGGAAACCTCTGGACAGGGTGGTTTGATGAATATGGATATTGAAGGAGAGGGAGAATCACAACCTTGTCTGAACCTGTGGGGCAGAGATATGGGTGTACTTTTGGCTATGTTAAGCTAAGTTAGGCTGTGATTTGGAGTGACACAGAATACATGCAATTTGGGGCATGTTTTAAGTGTGTACTGATGGTGACAGGCAGGGTTTGATTGCTAAAGAAGATACAGGGCCCCAAGTGACAATGCTTGCAGAACAGTTTATTGCAGGAAAAAGATACACTGCAGCATCAGCATTCGAGTTCATACTATCTCCCTCAAGAGGCCTGGAGAGACCAGGTGCCAATAGTGCTTCATGTCAGGGCCACACAGTTGCTCTTTCTTTCAGGTCAGAACCAGCGACCTGTGTGTGTGACATTCAGAACCAGTGGACCCAAGGGGATCTCTGCCAGCTTGTTTTTAATACTCTGTAGGTCAACAGGCTTTGTATGGCATGCAGCCAGGCCCGGTGGAAGAGCCCTCCAGGGGATCCCAGCTTGACCTGGGCAAACCATCAGTCTTACTTCACCAGTGAACAATGCCAACAAGCTGGTATAAATAACTCCCCATCTCCTTGGAACCATGGAGCAAAGCGCTATTCATGGGTGTGTTTCATGCCTCGACTGGGGTGCCATGCAGGTACATTTCTCATTTCAGCAAAACAGCTCAGGTCAACTCTAGGTCTGCTGGAATTAATCCTCATAGCATAAGTACTAATGATTGTTTGAGATATTTATGTGGGATGTATCCTGTAGAATGCTGCTAGTGTTACAAACCCCATTTTAGTTGTGTGTAGTTGAATATTCCATAATGTTGCCATATTTGCAGGCACACTTATTTTAGAACTTCTGAAAAGGTAATCTGGAAGAGGGTTGTTGTGATGGTGGTATTTCATTTTGCCTCTGAAATTAATGTATACTTCTAACTAAATTTATTATGTTAAACTTTTACTTTGCAGTTAAAAAAAAATCAAATTCTTAGATTTTGTAAGAGGAAGCATTACAAAAGACCTTTCAAGTTTATTGAGCATGAATGATGTGTCTTGCATTTTAGAACCTACTCAGAGCCTCTAATTGTGTTTCTCCTTCCTTTTTCATTCCTAGATGAATCGGCTCCTAAGGAAGTCAGCAGGGTAAGTAATATGAATACGATTCCTGCTATCACAATATTGGAAATGAGAAATCGTCTTGAACACTTTCTCAGTGCTCTAACAAGTTAAAGTATTTGAAAAATGACAATGACCGAGTGCCCTTCCCGAAAGATCACTCATTATTGTGGAATAAAGTCTGTAGGGAGGTTGCAAAGGGAAGGCCCCAAGCTGGGGTACAGAACTGATGAGTTGTGTTTGGCCTGCACGTGCTTATGGGGTTTTCTGAATCAGTTGCTAACATTTAGATATTGAGAGATTTCTCTTAAAAAGCCAGAAGATAAGGTAATGCAACCAGTATTCGCACATGGCAGCGATCTGCTAAGGGCAAGTAGCAGAAGCCACCCTGAGATACCTCCATGCTCTCCAGTGGTCGCAGTCCCCCATTTAGGAGGCTTCACTCATGTACATTACCTGTCCAGTCCCTGCTTTTGATTTAATTCACCTTTTTTGCGGGGACAAGAAAAGATGACAACTCCTATATTAATGGCATAGCATTGCTCAGGACTTTTAGAAATATTAAATGTACTATTGTCATGGCCTGGAGAAATATTTAGTGTTAACTTTAAGAGACTTAGCAAACATAAAAACTTATGGGGAATGAGTATTGAAGGTATTTAGCATACTATACTATGTTTTATACTGTAAATATTGAGTACATTTGTACAAATATCTTAGCTGTTTTTTTGTATACAATGCAAAACCTTAAGTGTGGATTAAATAATGAAAATAATCGATTTGAATTGCATTTGGTATAAGCTTATATTAATTTATTGATAGTAGGTCAGTGTTTATTATAAAATATAAACTTTAGAACTGTTAACAGAATCACATATACAGATATGTTCCTTCATTTTTGATCATCTGAAGACAAAAATTTCTAAAACAACCAGGGCTAGGAGCCAGAGGACTGGGCAGTACTTCCTCTGTTCATAGCAACCTAACAGACTCTTTTTTTTTTAAGATTGGAAAATATAGTTTATTTAAAAGGTAAAAGAGAGAGGGGGGAGAGAGAGAGAGATAGAGAGAGAGAAGGAGAAAGAGAGAGAGAAAGAAAGAGAGAGAGAGAGATTGATTCACCTTCCCAAGTTCGGGGAGGTGGGGGATGCAAAGCTTAGGAAATATGGCAATGGTCATAGCTCAGAGAGCCCATAGACACACCAGAGTTTTAGTAAAGCAGTGGCCCTAACACACTTATAAGGTTTGTATTAGTGTGAAGTTCTTACTGGGTGTTTTCACTGTGAATTTTACATTTCTAGTTTCCAGTTAGAGAGTTTCTAGGTCCAGATGGTCCCCCAATACATCAAAATGTAGATAGTCAGCCTAGAATTTTGGCAGCTGTTAGTAGCAGCAGAAAATGTTAAAAAGTGATGTTTGAGGATAAGAAGGGGTTTCTGAAAAGTGAACTTTGGCAGAGTCATAAAACATTGGGGTGTTTATAATGGCATAGCTGCTATCTCAGAGATGCCCTATGTCAGGCAGTGGTCCTGGCAATACCACATACTATCTTTAAGGCCATTAGAAAGAATGACAAAACTTTACATAGTGATTTTTCTTTGCTATTATAAAATATTTTGAAAAAGTCTCTTACATTATGCCAAATTTTTGGAAAGTACATTTGTAATCGAAAAATGCTAAATGCATGAGCTAATGACCTATCAGTTGCCAGAATCTCCTAAAGTTTTTAAAAAATATCCTGTATCTTGATCAATGCTTATTTTACTAATACTCAAAATTTGCTTTATGAAATAGTATGCCACTGCTTTCAATTAAGATTCAGATTTAGAAATATCTAAATTGCCACTTTTTGATCGATGGTGACAGGCATGAACATATCCCTGTCAAAAAGCATGTTCCTTGGTAAGACAGACTGTTCTACTCCAGGGCAGTTTCAATTCTTGTGAAGTACTTTCTTACTTAGAGCCAAGCAGCTCCCCTAACCTGCCAACTGTTAGGGTCTGTTTTGCCCTTTGTAATAACTCAAAAACTGAACATTCTTTTCCAGAGACAAACTCTTTGAGTACAAGGAAGGTGCTCTTTTCTAACAAAACATGTGATTTTTAAAACTTTATCCTCTATGTGTCTGCTTAGGATTTCAGGTGACATTCTGTAGACAAACTACATGCTATTAATATATTTTTAAAATGTTGCAACCATAACGTAACACTCAGACCAATTGGGGCTTGACCCTGGTAAAATGAGCTGGAACAGATACCTGTCTTGGTTTGAAAACTATGTATCTGTTGATACAGTTTTAAGAGACAATTTGATTTTTAAAGAAACTATAGTGCATTTCTGGTTATTGAGCTTTTAGTAAACTATTTTTTTCATGAAGTCAGTCAGATCTGTTAAGTCTTATGTCTCTTCCACTCTCCCTTTCCCCATTTTCCTTTTCTTCCTCTCTTTCTCATCTTCTTTCCTGTAATTCAGCTGATGAATATTTATTGAGCATTTATGTGTCTGACATGATTCTAAGGTACTGGGGATGTAGGAGTGACCAAAATAGACAGTATTCAGGTTCTCATAGTGTGGAAGGGAGTGGTTGAAACAGTTCAGAAAAAAATGTACATATATATATATCAGCAGTGATAAATGCTATGGCAAACACATAGAAGAATAAAGCAGAATAAGGCCTAGAGAGTGGATGTGGATTGGGTGGACTTACTGTCTTACTGTGCATATGTAGTTCAGGATTCAGGAACAGGAATCTGAAGGGAATAAGAATTGGGAAGAGGATATGGCAGCCACAGAGGCCCCTGATGTAGGTTAGTGTGACTAGAGCAGAGTAAGGGAAGACTGATAAGAAATGAGGTTGGACTAGAATGGGAGGATTTAGACCTTTTTCTAGTCACTGAATCAAGGTATTCACCAAACAGGAAGACCCAGCAGTAGTCTAGGAGTTGGATGGGAGATGGCAGTATCTAAGATTAGGGTTGTAATGGGGACATGTAAACAGAGGTTGGGTGTGTTAGGAAGGAAGAGCTGATGGGCTTTGCCTATGGGTTGTATAAGGTATGTGAGAAGACTTCCAACTTTTTAGTTTGAGCTCTTGGTAAAGTTTCTCTTTCCTGTTATAGGGAAGACTACAGGAGAAATGGGCTTGAGTGAAGCTGGGAAATGGGTCAAATTCAGTTATCAGTTATGAAATTGGAGATATTGAGAAAGCAAGTTACAAGGAAGCAAGTTCATAGGTAGACATATGTTTTGGGGAGTTTGTAGTGTATAAATGGTATTTAAAGCCATGGGGATAAATGACATAGGGATCTTGCCTTGGGAGAGAAGAATAAAGATCTGAGCACTAAATTGTAAACACTCCAATTGCTGAGTGGTGGAGAAGATGTGGAAAAGTCAGTAAAGGAGATGGAGACATCAGTGAAGTAGGAGGACATCAGAAATCTCTTTGTCAGCAGATTTTGTTTTAAAATGTTAACTGTAGGACTGCATATTCATTTCAGCATTTTTTTTGACCCTCATCTTGACCTATCGAGATGAGTCTCAGTGAAAGAAGTTCGGCGCCAGTAATGACTTCACACCCGGCCAGGACCAAGAGATTTATTAAAAGGGGCTGTTACAGAGGGGATCTGTAATGGGAAAAAAGGAAAAGAGAGAGAGAAAGAGAGAGTAAGAGAGAGAGAGAGAGAAAGTGGGAGAGAGGTGGGGAGAGAGCTGCAGAGAGGGAGAGAGCGACAGAAAGAGAGAGAGAAAGAGAGACCGAGAGAGAGAGTTGCGGGGAGACGGCTGTATTTATCAGCCTGACAGGGACTGGAAGGGACCGTGCTATGTTCCTATTGGAGGAGCTGCATGGGAGTGGGGTGGGGCCAACGCCGTGTTATAGTCCTATTGGACGCATAGCAAAGCTGGCTACGGATTGGAGGCTTGCAGGTTTGAAATTGGCACGTGGGAAGGTTTGAAATTCGCATGCGCGGGGAATTGTGCTCACAGAAGCCAGGACCTAGGGCCTTTGTTGTCTGGTGTGTCGGCGCCATTTTGGGAGGTGCCCCTCTGGTTGCTTTCTGCACCCTTCACTCAGTCTTCTGTCATCTAACATATTATTTATTTCTCCCTGCTTTGAAACCACACTTTTGGGTCATTTTTCTAAGTTTTTTCCTATGTCCTCTCTTTAATAATATGTCATCTAGGACAGTGCTAAGTGTGGAAATGTCACCCATGAGAAAAATATGAGACTGTGTCAGATGCTTTGTTGAAACCAGCATATCTTAACCGGTCTGAAAAAATCAGACATTGCCATTTAATCAACAAGTACTAGTTGAGTCCCACTCTTCTAGGCTGGTGGGATACACTGAGGAAGAAAGCAGAAAAAATTTCTGCCCTCACAGCTTTTACACAGTGTGGGAACAGAGTCAATAAGCAAAATAAACAATATCACATACACCGTGTTGAGTGATAATGAGTGCTGTGGAGACAAAGTGACAGACCAAGTAGGTGATGTTGCCTGGGTGTGGTGAGTGTGTGGCCAGGAAATGACATCTCTGGGACATATTTGAAGAAAGACCTAAAGGAGGTGAAGGAGTGAACCATGCTGAGGCCTGGGGAAGAGCTTTCCCATAGGCACAAAGGTCCTGAGACAGGAGTCTGCTGGGTATATCCAAGGCTTGCAAGGTGGCCAGCCTAGCTAGATCTGAAAGAGGGAAGGAAAGAGTCTTTGTCAGAAGGGGAGGTGGGTGAAAGATCTGATGGATACCATGTCAGCCATATCTTAATTTGTCATTTATTTCCATCTATTCAACACTATTAATCTTTTAAAAAATTAATTTATTATAAAGATGTGGGGTACAATTCAGGGTTAGGTATACAAACATTGATCATGCAAGTACCCTTGTTGATGAGGTATGCCCCTCCCTCCCCTAGCAGTTTCCCCCAACTGCCAGTCCCACCCCCCCTTCCCCTGACAGTTTTATGCTACTGCCAATCTCTTTCTTATAGCATTATAATTGTTCACAGTCACCTTATGAATGAGAACATAT